TTTTGTATCATGAAAATTTCATCTCTAAATTCCCCGTCATAGATAAATATGGAAAATTATTTTTTCATTAATATATTTCTAAAAATATGTAATTGAATTGATAAATGATTATTTTTATACATCAGTAAATTTATAGCCTCCATTCATAATTACTTATTTAGCCCCCTTTTTATCTTTTTAAAAATGAGTTAAAATTGTCACCCATGGATGTGTTCTTTGGTTCCACTCAAGGTAATGGACTTTTTTTTTAATGGATTTCAATTGACCTAACATTTCGTATTTAAATAACTTTATTTAACTCCAAATGTGTGAAAAAAGGACTCCCCTAAATCTAAAATGAATTAACATTGGGCGAATAGTTCAAATAAGGAAGGCTTTATGACAAAATTTAATTGCTTTCGAATTCCTAAATATTAGGAATATAATTAATTGTCAATGCCTAAATATTAGGAAAATAATTAAATAACTATTTTATCTATTGTAACATTGAGTTTTTAAGTTGAGTGACATTTTTAGGCATTTTCCGTTTATCTAATGAATTGGATATTGTATAACTGTGTGTGTGTGGGGTGGGGGGGGGGGGGGTAGGGGGGGACACGCACCATTTCTGCACCAAAAACCTAGTCTAAATGTCAAGGTTGGTTTTTTATTGAATCAAAAATTCTGTGGGCAAGACACCAACTTCTTGCAAAAAGCACCACTCATCCTGCTAAATTTCATTAAAAATCCTAAAAAACATAGCTAAAAGATCTTCCTCTTATCCGGATACATGACAATTTGAAAATATGCAAAAACCATATGGAAAAAGGTAAAAATAAACTAAATTAATATATATGGATTGTCGCATGTCCTTTTCAGTAAGACATGGTTATAGAAGTGGAAGATCAACTAAACTCTATTGTGTACAAGAACCAAATTCATGACTGTTTAAAGAGTGCCAGTATTTTGAAAATACAGTTTAAAATCAAAATTCATACAGAAAATGTCAGAAAAAGACTTGAAGAATGGGTATCAAACTAGAATCTTCGAATACAGGAGTACTATTACACTAAGAGGGGAGAGAGGAGAGAAAAAAGGAAAAATGGTGTAACTAAATCCCTTGATTGAAGGCACTAATAATGGGTTGAGAGCCTTTTAAGGTGGATTGTATATATTTTGTAAACAAAACTTGTGTAGGTCGGGTAAATAACAAAACATTGACAATTTTGGTAATAAAGTTTCCAATAGTGTATAGGTATGTAAAAATCCCTTGAATTTATATTCGACAACAACAACAAGCCCAGTGAAATCCAACAAGTGGAATATGGGGAGGGGAATTTATATTCGAATTGCACAAAAATTTATAATTTTACCCACTTTAGAACATACTTCAGATGTCGCGTCTGAAGTTCTAAAAATACGCGTATGCAATAAGAAATTTGGATAGTTTTTGCGTCTGAAGTTCTCCTCGTGACAGTGCAAACTTCAAATGCAAAGTTACGAATTTCGGATATTGTTCGCGTCTGAAGTTCTCCCAGCGGCAGTGAAAACGCCAGACAATCGCATTTGAAGTTATGTAGTGTAAACTTCAAAGTGTAAAAAATTGCACTTAAGACTAGTTAGTCTGAACTGGAGTCAAATTTTTGCATGCTCTTAAGACGAAATAGTCTGAAGTATAAAATTACACTTAAGATGAACATAAGACTAATTAGTCTGAAGTATAGCTAAGTTTTTGCAAAACTAATCAGTTTGAACTAAAAATTGTCCAGAAAGAGAAACTTAGTTTTTAAATTTCAACAATCTAACACACGATTCAATGCTCAAGTATACTCCAAATGAGCTTAAATTTAAAACATAACTTTCAAATATCATATAGAATAAACTCCAATCATCAATTTTTCAAATCAACAACAAATCTAATAAACTCATTTTGCAACTAAGAAGAAGAATGAGAAGAAACCCTAAGTAGTAATTATAAATAAATGAGCACCATTGCAACTCACTACTGTTAAAACGCCTTAAGATGTGCTCACAAACACCATGTAAATCCGTAGTCACCTCTATTTTTACAGCAACTAAGAAGAAGGAGGAGGAGTGATGTGTGGCTATAATTCTGTATTTTAGTACATCATTTGCCTTGCATTTTATATGCTTTAATGATAAACTATACTTTAATTGTGTGTAATGAAGTCTAT